ACACAGAGTGTGTGAGAGAGAGAGAGAGAGTGTGTGTGTGTGTGTGTGAAGCCTGAAGCCAGGAGAGGGGGCATTGTGAGCCAGGAGAGGGAGCTGTGTGTGTGTGAGCACGCAATGGCTGCTGGTCCCCATGCACAGTGTGTGTGTGAAGCATGAAGCCTGGAGGGTGTGTGTGTGTGTAAAGCCAGGGGAGAGGGCCAGGTGTAGGGGTGTGTGTGTGAGCGCGCAATGGCTGCTGGTCCCCATGCACAGGGTGGGCGCCACACTTGCAGGTGAAGCGCCCAGAAAGCAAAGGCTGGGTGGAGTCCCACTTGCACACCGTGCACTGATGAGTGTCATTAAAAATAACGAAACGAGGCTGGGTCATTAGGCAGCTTGACTTGCTGCCTCTGGATGACATCACAGCCCGGCCTGGGGAAGTCGGAGGCCAGGGCAGTTTTCCCAGGCGTGAGGTAACCGGGTGACGTCACTGGGCAGAGGGGTGACACACAAGCGACCTGAGCGGCCAGTTAGCTGTCCCGTTCCAGGGCCCCCAGCTGGGTTGCCTGGACCTGTTGGCATTTCGGGGTTCGACTGGGGCAGTGCGGCGCCCAGCACGTGTGTGTGAGTGCACGTGTGTATTGTCGAGCATTGTGTGTGTGTTGTGGTGCTGTCAGCCGTCCCTTCCAGGCCAGGACATGGCCTGTATGTGGTGACCTCCAGATGTGGGGATGGCCTGCAGCCTCAGCACAAAATCCCCCATCTGTCCGTGTGTGTGTGTGTGTGTGTGTGTGTGTGATGTAGGCGGAGCTGGGATAAACAGCCCTCTTCAGCGCCTGGAAGTTGAGGGGCAGAAGGGGCCAGCCCAGCTGGAGCTGGCCAGAACTAAAGCCACGCCTACACGGGGAAATGCATTCTTCCCTCTGCCCCATTGACACCCAAATCAGCTGCCTCCCAGGACCCAGCCCAGCTCCGGCCTGGCTGGGTGACGCTTAGGGCCTGTCGCACCCTTGGGTGCCCTGGAGGGAGGAGGTTCCCCCACACCAGGCTGGTTACACTCCAGCTGGGGCAGTGCCCATTTTCGGGTGATCACTTGCAGAGGCCGGGCTGAACCTAAACTCCAGCTCCAGACTTTCGGGGGGCCCAGGGCTGGAGCTGAGGTTCTTAGCTCAGCCAAAGGGAACGGCGGGTTTGTGGGGAGGGGTGCACAGGGCAGGTTTGCTTGGCCACAGCTGCCCCCTTTGCCAAGCCGGACTCCCGGCTCCTGGCAGGGAGAGGCTCGGCTGGCACGCCAGCCCCTTACCCGGGTGCTACTCCCAGGCGGGGAGGAGATGGCTGGTGAACCTGCTTTTGTGAGCAAACACAGGCGATTAGAAGGAGAGAATAACACGGTGAGGGTGAGACACTGGCACAGGCTGGGCGAGGGATCTGACAATCATTAAACTGGCCAGCCCTGATTTCCCGGCAAGACAGCGCTGGCATGGAGCCAGGTGGCACCTATTATGCAAATTCGATGGAGCTGGGAGCATGAATGCTTGAGCTAGGAATTCCCCTAGAGCCGCGAGATCATGTTACCAAAGCCACCCGCGATATAAGGCCAGCTACCCGGGAGCGGCCGCCTCTAGGCGTAGGCGCTGAGGGCTAAGGCACAGATGAGCCGTGGGTAACAGCCAGTGCGCGGCTCGGTGTGTGTACAACCTCCCTTCGCTGTCTGTGGATTAGCTGCTGCTGCCAGGAGCGCTGCGGTAGGTACCAAAGCCCGCGTGCACCGGCCGTGCTTTCTGGGGGCTCTTCCACGTCACCGGTGTCTGGCTAGCGGGGGATGCTGCTTTTTATCCGCCAGCCACCTGGGGGCCACACTGGGGGTAGAAAGCTCTCGCCGCCCAGGGCCGGGCCAGGTGAGTGCAAACATGCCCGCTTGCCAGTTTCATGCCCAGGCAGGCACCTTGATGCTGGGACAGGTGCTGCTCCGGGTCCAGGAAGACTGGGTCCGAGGACTGGAATCCGCTTTGCCCGGGGCGCTAATGGGAGGGAGACAGGGAGCGGCCCTGGGTTGCAGGGGAACCGCAGGGTCCTTTGGGAGAACGGGCAGCGGGGGGAGTGGAGACAGAGCAGCCAAACCACACGGATCTCTGCAAATTCCAGTGCGATAAACCTGCTAAGCAGGAGACTCCGAGTCCCTTTCTCCCGGCTGGGTAGCTGTGCCGCGGATGGAAGGAGGCCTCGGAACACATGAAAGATGGACCACGAGAGGAGTGGGGGTGGAAAGGCGCCAGTCTGGGAACACGCTGGCTGCGACCTGTCTCCTGGGGCGGGCTGCAGGCTCCCCGGCCATACCTAGCCCGGTTCCAGGGCTCGCTGGGCAACGTGGCCTGCAGGCAGCGCTCCAGGAGCCAGGCTGACAGCTGCGATCTCTTGGCAGAGCTTCATGGCGGGATCCTGCGAAATCAGCAACATCTTCTCCAACTACATCAGCGCCATGTACCAGCCGGAGGAGGCCCAGCCGCCCCTGGAGCTGCTGGCACACCTGGGGAAGGAGGACAGCCTTGTGCCGCGCCAGCTGGGCAGAGACCAGCAGTGATGGCCATGAGTCAGGCCAGATGTGACTCACCAGCCGGGATTCCTGCCCATGGGATAGGAGACAGCGTTGCCTAGTAGTGAGGACAGGGGTTTAGGAGACCTGAATTCTATCCCCACTTCTGCTGCTGGGTGACCTGGAGAAGCCTCTCACCTGCTCCGTGCCTCAGTTTCCCTCTCTAAAAGCTACTTCCCATAGCTGCCCGAGGGGGTGCCGGCCAGGTGTGGGTGCCAATGGAGGCTGGGAGGAGGAGGTTTTGAAGGTGCAAAGTGTTCCTGGGATTTGCCCCAGGTGCATTATGGGGAGGTGGGTGGGCTGTGAGGGCAGGTGGGGAGTTCACCTCCCTTCCTCCGCAGCGTCAGAGTTTACTGCTGTGGGGGACTGGCTGGTTGGGCCACTAGCCAGCTGGGCTAGGGGAAGGGGGAAGATCACTCTGGGGTGGTTGGGATGGGGAGGCGGGGCTGCAGTATCCTTCCCTGGGCTCCGCCGTTCCCTCGGCCCTGCCGTCAGACAGGCCACGGGGGGGACCCGAGAGAAAGGGGCAGTCGCCAGGTGTCCGTGCTGTCATGGTGACTAAGCAAGATACCCGCCACCCGTCTGGCTCCATGCCCAGGCGAGCCAACGCCCCCCGAGGCTGGGGCCAGGCTCCCGCCCCGCCGCGGGGAGCGCGGCGCCCCTGAGTCCTGCCCTTGTCCCCCGCAGAGAAGCCGGCGTGGTTCAGCGAGTTCCCCTACCTCTGGAGCAAGGCGCAGGTGCTGGAGTGGATCAGCTACCACGTGGAGAAGAACAAGTATGACGCCAGCGCCATCAACTTCTCCTGCTGCAACATGGACGGCTACACACTCTGCCACTGCACGCAGGAGCAGCTGCGGCTCGTCTTCGGGCCCCTCGGGGACGAGCTGTACAGCCGCCTCCACGAGATCAGTGAGTGTCCATGGCCTAGCACAGCCCGTCCCCTGCCCCACGCCCACCAGCCCGCCCTGGGGAGAGCCTGCACCAGGCCCTCCAGGCTGGCTTGGCCCCCGGCTCTGCTGCCCTTTACCTGGGGCTAGGCCCATCCTGCCCCCAGACTCTGCTGAGAAGGGAGCTCTCGATGGCCCCGTGGCAGGGCTCACACCCGGGCACCATCGGCTCACTCAGCACCCGGGGGAGCGGCTGGGCGTCCAGGCCAAACACGATTCATTCCTGTGCTCCCCCTCCCGCAGTCTCGGTCTCGGACGAGCTGAGCTGGATCATTGACCTGCTGGAGAAGGATGACGCGTCTTCCCAAGAGATCTTCCTGAACTCCGGTGCCTCCGGTAAGAGACGCACCCCGGCCACGCCTTGTGGCCCCTCCCATGGCATGTCCCTACCTTGGACCGGGCTCATCCTTTCCTCCCCTGCGTCTAGAGCTGGGGAACTCATGCACGAAGGAATCCCTGGAGGAGATGAAATCCGCAAACCCTTTCTACCAGGCTGACTTGAGCTACTTCTCCGGTGCCCTGTCTCCAGGCAGCTCCGACATCTCTGTCTCAGGTACAGCCCTTACACGCCGGGCCAGCAGCCTGACAGCCAGGGCTCGCCCATCAGTCCAGACCGACCCTGCATCCTCTCACGTGTGGCGTCTGCTTCTCTCTGGGGATGGGGCACAGCCCTGCAGCTGGGTCTCAGCTGGAGACGGTGGCCCTGCCGTGGTGCAGACCACCTCCCGGGGAGCGGGTGGTGTGCCTGGCTGCTCGGAAGTATTTCTGGAGGGGAATAACTGGAAATCCAAGCCTCTTTTCCCTTTGCCTCCCAGGCACCGGGACGTCCCGCAGCCCCTGCTCTCAAGACTCCGGTGGAAGTGACCTAGATCTCGACCCGACAGAACTGAAACTCTTCTCCTCGAACGGTGAGTTGGGGACAGACGAGTTTGTGGATTTGGGTCCGAGAGGGAAGGGACAGGCCCCTTCCCACTGGAGAGAGCTTGGCTGGGTCCCTGGCCTGGGGAGGAGGCTGAGAACTGACCCCTGCTAGAGGCAGCTGGGTTTAGTTCTCTGTCTGGTGTGTGTGTGTGGGGAGGGGGGGGGAGGACGACTTCCAGGCGCTAGGTATCTGCCTGGTATCCAGACAGGAGGGGTCCAGCCCAGCCCCACACACTGGCGGTCTGGCCGGAATGGAGCCGGGGCAAGGAGTAGCCAAGTCTTTGACCCTGGGTTCTCCATCTGCCCCTGCTTTGTGCCAAGGGGCTGCATGGAGCAGGGGTGGGGGGGGTTGCGATCTGCCTTTGAGACCCTCTGCCTCAGCCACTGCCAGCGCCATGGGGGTTACAGGGTGGATGCCAGCAGCACCGCGGGCTGGGTGGGGGCTGGGCACTCGCCAGGGGGCTTCTTGCTCCCGCAGGCCGAGATCGGACGCCACCCGGCGCACAATACGATTCCTGGCGCCCCTTCCAACCGGCACCCAGGCGAGGAGCCGGGGGCATCCCCCATCACGGGCTGGCTGAACCTGCAGGGGCCCCTGGTAGTTCTGCTTCTAAAGACCCAGGAGTGGAAGCTGGGAGGGGGCAGGCCCAGTAACCCTCCCCCCTCCTGCGCAGATGGCTGTGCCGACTACGAGAAAGGGGACAGCAAGCACGGCAAGCGGAAAAGGGGCCGGCCCCGGAAGCTCAGCAAGGAGAACAGAGACTGCCTGGACACCAAGAAGAGCAAGCACTGTACGTGCCCGGCGGTCTCGCTGGCGGGCGGGGCGGGGCGGTGGGAGGAAGGATCGGGGCGCCAGTCCGTGGCAGGTGCTTGCGGATGGCCCAGGAATCCCTAAGGACTGCTGCTAAGTCGGATCGGTGTGACTGCACTCTCAGCCCCTCCCCTCTGGCTGGGCACAGCTGCCCAATGGCCCTTCTGCACCCCCACTGGTTCCCGGAGTGCAGGGAGCTGCCCCAGTCACCACAGGGCCTCCCCAGCTGGCCGGGGCACCGGGGCCACAGCTGGGCAGAGCCCTGACCTGGACCGGACCGTCCCTCCTCTCTGTTGCAGCCCCCAGAGGGACTCACCTGTGGGAGTTTATCCGGGACATCCTGCTGCACCCCGAGCTGAACGAGGGGCTGATGAAGTGGGAGGACCGGCGCGAGGGCCTGCCCCAGTCACCACAGGGCCTCCCCAGCTGGCCGGGGCACCGGGGCCACAGCTGGGCAGAGCCCTGACCTGGACCGGACCGTCCCTCCTCTCTGTTGCAGCCCCCAGAGGGACTCACCTGTGGGAGTTTATCCGGGACATCCTGCTGCACCCCGAGCTGAACGAGGGGCTGATGAAGTGGGAGGACCGGCGCGAGGGCGTCTTCAAGTTCCTGCGCTCGGAGGCGGTGGCCCAGCTCTGGGGGCAGAAGAAGAAGAACAGCAGCATGACCTACGAGAAGCTGAGCCGGGCCATGAGGTGGGTGTCCCGGGAGCCCCCGTCCCGTCCAGGGGACACAAGGCAAGGGAGCCCCCGCCTGTCTCCAAGACGACACCCGTCCTTCCCTTCCAGGTACTACTACAAGCGGGAGATCCTGGAGCGGGTCGACGGGAGGCGGCTGGTCTACAAGTTTGGGAAGAACTGCAGCTGCTGGAAGGAGGAGGAAGTCTCGACCCGAAAATAAGGAGCCCAGGGGAACCTTATGAGGACTCGGGCTCTGCCCGTCTGGCCCAGGGGCGAGAGCCAAGGGATCCTTAGACAAGCGTGTTTGTCAGACGGTTGGAACCCAAAGCTGCTGTCCTGGGCAGTGTGTTAGCCTCCAGCCCCATCCTCGGGGCACAAGTGTACGTGCTGGTTACCCGCCGGCACCTCGGTATCTACAGCTGATATTTTGGCTCAAGTAGGTTATTGTAAACCATTATCTGTTGCGTTGCTGGACTCTTGGCCAGTGGGATTACAGTGACTGCCCGTTGGCAAAACCTGGGTGGAGGAAGGGCCGCGCTCCGTTCTCGACTTCGGGAGACTTCCGAGCAGAGCACGGGCGCCCGGGGCGCTCAGCGGCGGTGCGGGAAGTGGGCTGCACCCGTGGGCCCCCGTTTGACAGACGGCGTGAAGAGCGCAGATGCTGAGCCCCGTTTTTGCCAGCCAGGCGGGCTGTGCGCTGGTACGCGTCGCCTGCTGCTCCAGGATTGGCCCCCTTCTTCTGCTTAGCGCGTGTGACGCCGCCTCGGCCCAAGGGGGTCAGAGCGAACTGTGAATTTCAGACGGCGGCGGAGGGACCGTGACCACAGCCGCGGCATCCAGCCGAACCTCCCTCCTTGTACTTTGGGCATTTGACTCCATCCCCGTCTCCCACGCCACGCTGCCTCCCGCTTCTAATTTATGTCCCACTAACAGAGGGTATATATTGTACATAGAGAGCTATTTTTTCATCAATAAGCTTGATCTTGTGTGATTGTGAGCGTCCTGGAAGCACCTTCGACCCGACGACTGTTCTCCATATTCAGCTGGACTGAACTAAGGTGCTCCTGGCCTCCCAAGGCCTGTGTACAGCGCGCCCGGCTCTGGCGAATGCACAAGGTCTTTTCTGGGTTTGATAATGAGCATATCCAAAATAAATTGCTGCCTTTTTAAAAATGGAGAGCTAGGATTTTGGCTTTGCTTTTCGATACTCTTATATCAGGATGTGTACACAGCCACTCCTAGCCACATGGGGTTGTTAATGTCGTGAGCAAAGATAAGGAATAGAACTGGGTACAGTGGAGTGTAATATACGAGGGTATCCTTGAAGGACAATTTTCTCTTTTCCAAGTTCAGGGCACGCAACCCATCAGGTGGGGCGTGGGGACTGGTGAGAGGGTGGAGGCACAGGAAACCCGAAAAGGCCAAAGAAATGCCTCTCCCTGACCTCAGAGCAACCTCATTTCTTACCCGTCCCGTGGGCACACAAGAGCCAAGATCCTCCAGGATAAAACATGACCATACAGTGCAGGGGGTGGGGGGAAAAGCATGCACCGCAGGTGTGCCTGCTGGAAACGAGGTGGGGACTAGGGACATAATTATAACATGGAGATATACCTAGCTCATAGAACTGGAAGGGACCTCGAGAGGCCATCGAGTCCAGTCCCCTGCCCTCATGGCAGGACCAAGTAACAGGACGTGGGGGAAGGCTCTGCAGTGTCAGAGCCACGGACAGGCTTGCTGGACACCGCAATATGCATCGCAGTGCCGGCACTATGGATTTGCCGTCTTCTGCTCTGTCTGCGCAGCAAGAGCCCGGGCAGGGGTGAAGGGAATGCCACCAAGAGGAGTCACTTGCCCCTCTGACCTCCTCCATAGGGTCCCCCTAAGGATCGCGCCAGACCGCATGCTGCACTGAAGAGCCGCTGCCAAAGATTTGGTCCCCGTATTGCTGGACTGTGAGCCAGTCACCCCTCACCTCCTGCTGGCTAAATAGACTGATCCCCTTGGGTGAATGCCTGATGGACCCATGCCTGCCCCCCCATCTATGCCATGGGGCTGTCGGTCCCTGCCTGAGGCCCAGAGCACCTCCGTTCTACTGGAGAAGGCTCCTTGTGAAGAGCCGCTGCCAAAGATTTGGTCCCCGTATTGCTGGACTGTGAGCCAGTCACCCCTCACCTCCTGCTGGCTAAATAGACTGATCCCCTTGGGTGAATGCCTGATGGACCCATGCCTGCCCCCCCATCTATGCCATGGGGCTGTCGGTCCCTGCCTGAGGCCCAGAGCACCTCCGTTCTACTGGAGAAGGCTCCTTGGTGGACGGGGGCGGGGGGGGGGGGGGGGAGCTGCCCTGTCCTCTGCTCTGCCAGCTGGGTGACCCTGTGCCATAGGCCCTCAGCTTGGAAGTCAGAGGCTCCCTCCCTGCGCCCCGCGATGAGGATGAGCCTGTGTGGACGGGGAAGGACTTAGCTTTTCTAAATAGTCCTTAACCTGTTCTTTCTCCACCCAGGGCTGCCCACCTCCTCCTCAGACTGTTGCCTAGTGCAGTAGTTTGAGAACTGACCTTGCCCGGGAAGACAGAGGCAAAGAAAACATTGAGTACTTCAGCTTTTCCCACATCATCTGTCACTAGGTTACCTCCCTCATCCAGTGAAGACCCCACACCCTCTCTGATCCCCCTCTTCTTGCTAACATGCCTGTAGAAACCTTTCTTCCCATCCCTGACCAGCTGCAATTCCAACTGTGCTTTCACCTCCCAGCTCTCTTGCATTCTCGAGCAATATATTTATACTCCTCTCTAGTCATCTGTCCAAGTTTCCACTTCTTGTCAGCTTCCCTTTTGTGTTTAAGCTCACCAAGGATTTCACTACTAAGCCAAGCTGGTCGCCTACCACATTTGCTTTTCTTACTGCGCATCGCGATGGTTTGTTCCCGTGCCTTCAATAAGGCTTCTTTAAAATACTCTCCTCGACTCCTTTCCCCGTCCTGTTACATCCCAGGGGGTCCTGCCCATCAGCTCCCTGAGGGAGTCAAAGGCTGCTTTTCTGAGGTCCAGGGTATGTGTTCTGCTGCTCTCCTGTCTTCCTTTGGTCAGGATCCCTGGTTGGTTCCTTCAGTATGGCTACGTCTAGACTGGCATGATTTTCCGGAAATGCTTTTAACGGAAAAGTTTTCCGTTAAAAGCATTTTCAGAACAGAGCGTCTAGATTGGCAGGACGCCTTTCCGCAAAAGCATTTTTTGCAGAAAAGTGTCTGTGGCCAATCTAGACACGCTTTTCCGTAAAAAAGTCCTGATCGCCATTTTCGCGATCAGGGCTTTTTTGCGGAAAACAAATCTCTGCTGTCTACACTGGCCCTTTTGCGCAAAAGATTTTTGGAAAAAGACTTTTACCCGAACGGGAGCAGCATAGTATTTCCGCAAAAGCATTGACAATCTTACATGAGATAGTCAGTGGCCAGTGTAGACAGCTGGCAAGTTTTTCCAGAAAAGCGGCTGATTTTCCGGAAAAACTGGCCAGTCTAGACACAGCCTGTGTGTACCAGGAAGTTACCCCCAACATTCTCCAAAAACTTCCTGGATTGCCTGCCGCATTGTACTGCAGCATTGGTCTCCCAATCGATGGCAGGGTAATTCAAGTCCCCCATGAGAACCGTGGCCTGTGATCTGGAAGCATCTCTCAGTTGTCTGAAGAAAGCCTCGTCTACCTCATCCACCTGATCTGGTCTACAGCAGACACCAAGCACAACATCACCTCTGTTGCTTCCACCTTTAAACTTAACCCATAGACTCTCAAGAGGCTTTAGTCCCTCTAAAGACTGGAGCTCCGAGCAATCAGTGCTCTCTTATATACAGTGCAACTCCTCCTTTTCTCCTCCGCCTGTCGCTCCTACGTGCTCCACTCATGTGAGTCATCCCACCAAGTCTCCGTTATTCCAGTCTCTCTTTGACTGGGCCAGGACTTCCACTTCTTCCTGCTTGTTCCCCAGGCTTCTTGCGTTCGTGTACAGACATTTCGAACGCCATCGAGGCAGGCAGGAGTGGTTCTTCTCCCGTGCCTGTCCCCCCGTGTCCAATACCTTCCAGTGGTGCATGAAGCAACACGGCTCTATCATCCAGCGGTGTTTCCCCCCCGCCTTTCCCCAGCTGGGGCAGCTGTAGGCTGACTCCGGCCCACTGCTCCGAGGCGATGGGCAGGGCCGGGTTGGGGGCCTGACCCAGTCTGGGGAAGCCAGATGGGAGCTCTCCTTGAGGGACTGAACAGGCCGGAGCTACGGTGGTAGGGTGGAACGGCACCCGCCCTGCTGTGCCCACACTCTCTAGGCAGCTGTCTCCCAACGGTGTCCCTGAGGCCACCTCCTCGCTTTGCGTCATGCACCTGGCACACATGCAACGCCCAACCCCACAGAGCAGCTCATGCACCCCTGGCAGTTTTAGCCCCTGGGGTCTGCAAACGTCTGGGAAAGAAACCTCCGGACGGAACCCTTGCCCGCTCCCGCCTGTGTTACACAGACGCCGTTTGTGTTCATGGCTGACCTCCCCGGGTGTCCCTCCTGGGCAGGTCCAGTGGGTGCTAATCCCCACGGAGCGGTGCGGGAGGGGTGGCAGGGAAAACGTGGCCTGAACAGCCTCCCTGTGCAGGGCGACGGCCCCTTTAAGAGGTCACAGAGTCCAGGACCTCGCTGTCTCCCACTTGGGCTGATGAGGCAGCACTGGGCCAGATGTAGTGTGAGGGTGGGGCTGTGGAGGCTGTTGGAGGTGAGAGGCAGCCCTGAGGGCAAGCCGGCCCAGAAGCAGGGGATTGATTTTGGAAGGAGGTTTCCCAGGAGCACCAAGGGTTTTGAATTTGCTGCTGAAAGGAGCAATCCTCCTTTGCAGGGATGGATGGGGGGGAAACTGAGGCAGGTCTGCCCGTGCTGATGAGGTCGGCTGCAGGAGGAGCAGAGAGAGGAAGGAAGGAATCCCCCTCCACATCTGCTTTGCCATGATGCTTCTCCCTTTGCCTCTCCTTCCCTCCCATTTACACGTGACTCCAATTTCCCACAGTGCTTCTCCCTACCCGCCTGGCACATGGATGGGGTCATAAGAATACAGGAATGGCCGGACTGGATCAGACCAAAGGTCCATCAAGCCCAGTGTCCTGTCTTCTGACAGTGGCCAATGCCAGATGCTCCAGAGGGAGGAGACACAACAGGGAATCCTCATGTGAGCCCTCCTTGTCATTCACTTCCACAGAAAAAGAAGCTAGGGACACCATTCCTACCCACCCTGGCTAGTAGCCATTGACGGACCTAACCTCCATGAATCTATCTAGCTCTTTTTTGAACCCTGTT